GTGTTTTGTGGTTTTTCATTCATTTAAGGGGATGTACAGTAGCTGTGTAATGGAGACTGTCATATCTAGTAACATGTCATTTAACTTCATGGCATTGTAAATTTCTATTTTTCTTTCTATTGTTGATTTTGTATAATGACTTTTCATTTGAGGGGATGTACAGTAGCTGTGAAATGGAGACTAACATTTCCAGATGTGAGGACACAATGTAGTATGCATCTCTACTTCCAGACAAAGATGGACTTACAATGAAACTGTTCACTATATCTTAATAGGATGCTGGACTCTCTGCCATTGTCCATGCCCGCAATGATGGACATATGACTGTGTATGAAGAACTATACTTTAGTAATGATATAGAGGAACTAGGTGGGGGAAAGGGAATTGGGGAGGGGATAAGGGAAATGCCAGGAGCCTATGGAATTGTATCATAAAATGATAATAAAATGTTAAAAAAAAAAAAAAAAGAAAAAAGTACAGTGGAGAGTCTCCAAAATAGAATGAAGCAAGCAGAATCTCAGAATTGGAAGATATTTCCTGCCACCAGGGGGAGACAAACAAAGGGGGAAGTAGAGCTGGGTCAAGCTAAAAAAAGTATTCAAGAATTCAAAGACACTCTTAATGTAAGTTATGGAAATCCAGAATGTGCAGAAAGAGAAGCTGTGGATGCACTCTCTAGGCACAGGTGTGGATGGGGTCTGGGGCGTGCAAGACTGGGCTAGACTCCAGCACCCACTGAAGCTTGTGAGAACCTGGGCTGGGCTGGATCTCTGTCCCTGCTGAGCCATGTGTGAGCTGTGTCTGGGTATGGACCAGCCTAGGCTGGGCTGTAGCACCCAACAGTATGAACCATAATGGGTGAGGGCCGGTCAGGAAAGTCACTGTTCCTACTAGGACAGGAGATGGACTAAGTAGGGCTGGCCCATGGACCCACTGGTATGTGCAAGAACTGGCAATGGGAGAGGTTCTGATGGAGGAGCTTGGAAACTCCTCTGTTGGGACACAGTCCCTGCAGATGAGTGCAAGAACCAAGAAAGGGAGCAGCCAGACCAGCCCAGGTTATGGTACCCACGGGCCTGCCTTTGAGGTGAGCCAGACTGGACCAGTTCATATCACCCACTGGTAAACCCAAGAGCCAGTATGGGGTGTGGGTCACGCCTGCTCGGGCCACAATACCAGCCAATTCACACTAAGCCCGGGACTGGGGGCTGCTGGGATGGCTGGTTGGGCTGTAGTATCCACCAGCAAGGGCTGTAACTGGGGGTAGGCCAGGCCATGCCAGGCTACAGCACCCACTGGCAAATGCTGAAGTGAAGCGGGCCACAACACATGAGAATCAAGCTCTCATCAAACGAACATCAGGAAAAGATCCTTAAATGTGCACGTGAAAAAAATCAACTGACATATAAAGGAATGCCAGTTAAACTCACAGCTGACCTGTCACAGGAAACTCTACAGGCAAAAGAGAATGGAGCGGGACACAGTTCTGTCATGGCATCCTTCAGGTTTCACCCTAAACGGAGCAGGGCCAGGCAGCCCTCAAACCTAATGGCCAGGAGACTCAAAACTCCACTAGTGCCACATCAGGACGTTTTGCGTAGTGCGGAAAAGGCTGTGGGACTGGAGGGACAACAGGGAGCTGTGCACGCGCTAAGCTGGGAGCAAAATCATTTCAGGCTCAGTGTTTGCACTGGCCACCCAGGGAAGACGGTCCTGACACAATCTCCTGCAGGTTCCACGCGAGATATGTCTGGGTGGTCCTCAGACCTAACAGCCAGCAGGTTCCAACAGGGTAGCACCACTGACAATCTGGTTATTTAGGACAGCAGGTATTTCCCTAATCTTGGGCACTGCTCGAATTGGAAGTGGGAGAAAGGCTGTACAGGCAATGGTGTGGCTGCAACAGGGATCACAGGAGGTGGAGAATGGTAAACGGGGAGCCGGGCTCTAGGGGGGCCTTTGTCATGGAAGCCTAGCACAAGAGCCTGGGACTGAAGGAGTGGTTCAAGTGACTACAATCAAAGCACCAGGTACCAAACTCCAACCATCCAATTGACCTGTAGACCTGTGGGTGACACGGCTTAGAAACCTGTCTTAAGAAGAAGCTGCTAACCAGCAGTGCAACGACCAAGAGCAAAAGAAGAGATGAAGGCACAATGACTATTACTGAAGATTTCCTGCAGAGGAGCAAACGCCTCTGCCAACCTCAATGTTAACTGAGGAAGGCATCGAGGAATTGGGAGATAAGGAATTTTAAAAACTTGTAAAGCTTCTTAACAATGAGTAGCACATACAGGACTTCAAGGAATTTAAGGAATATGTCACACAAGAAATAACACTGAAACAAAATCACGCCGAGCTATTGGAAATGGAGATATCAGAGTTTAGTCAGTTACACGGTATGATTCTCTGCAACATTATTAACTCTACAAATCAGATACTACGCACCCAGTTTTATACTGTCCAATATTAACACAGATATAACATGGCATTTGCTTGGGACTGTTCTTGCACTGGCCACCCAGGGAGTTCTTTCAGTTAGTATAAAGACCTCCTGTTGCATCAATTTTGTAGCAAATATTTTATGAGTAATATTCCACTGAGTATACATGCATGTATAAAATTTTCTTTATCCACTCATTGGATGGACATGTAGATTAATCAGATGCCTTAGCTATTGTGAAGTGAGCTGCTACGAGCATGGGAATGAATGCAAATTTTCAAATGTTGATTTCATTTCATTTAGATTTAGTTCCAAGACTAGGAATATTGAGCTAGTAGGCAAACATGTTTTTACTTTTCTGATATCCCCTAGTGTCTCCCATGATGATTGCGCCAACTACATCCCAATGACAGGTATTAGGGAAATACGCTCGATATTCACATCAGGATTTGCTATTTTTCACTGTTTACATTGTAGCCATTCTAACAGCCGTGATGATACTTCACTGTTTTTAATTTATATTTCTCAGATGCCTACTGAGGCTGGAAACGTTTTCATATTTAATTTTTTCATATTTCTTTAATTAAAGTTTTTTATTATGTCTTTTTCATTTGAAAAATTAACATATCTTGCAAAATTTAAGTGAATTGTTTATTGCTATTGAGTTTCTTGAATTATTTATTCTGGATATTAATCCTATATTGGGCTCACAGTTGGCAAATATTTTTCTTTTTAAAGATTTTATTTTTATTACAAAGTCAGATATACAGAGAGGAGGAGAGACAGAAATCTTCTGTCCGATGATTCACTACCCAAGTGAGTGCTGATCCGAAGCCGGGAACCAGGAACCTCTTCCAGGTCTCCCACATGGGTGCAGAGTCCCAAGACTTTGGGCTGTCCTCAACTGCTTTCCCAGGCCACAAGCAGGGAGCTGGATGGGAAGCGGAGCTGCCAGGATTAGAATTGGTGTCCATATGGGATCCTGGGGTGTTCAAGGCAAGGACTTTAGCTGCTAGGCCACGCCACCGGGCCCAAATATTTTTCCCATTTTCTTGGGTGCCTTTTCATTTTCTGAATCTCTTTCCTGGGTGAATGAAAATCCCTTCGTTTTATATAATCCTAATCTGTTTGCTTTTATAGCATTGGCTTCTGCGGTATTATCCGAGAAATGTTGGTCTAGGTCACATCCCTAAGTTTCCCTCCGGTAATTTGATGACTTAGGGTCATAGATTTAGTTCCTTGATAAACAGTAATGTTATTTTTTAGGATGTTATGTGGGGGCCTGGTTTTAACTTTCTGCATGTAGAAAAACAATTTTCCAACACCATTTGATGAAGAAATTCTCCTTTCTCCTAGCAATGATTTTGCTCACCAAAGACTTTCTGGTTTTACACATGTGGAGTAACAGCTGGGGTTTCAATTTAGTTCCATTGGTTGGTAGTTTTAAAGCCAGTAATAGGTTGTTTTGATTAATACCAGATTTCAAGAACTACTACCTGGGTGTTTTAAAGGATATATTGTGGTATTTAGCTGTTTTTAATTGCTTAAGATTTCTTTAGCTATGTCCCTTAAATGTTCATGTTTATTTTCTTAAAGAATTTTGTATATCTAGGTCATTGCTCGTTATATAGGTTTTGGTGTCTGATGGATGGTTTTATTCTCTAGAAAAGTACAAATGATTTTGTGATTGTCTCACCCACTTTCCCCCGTTCCTCGGCCCTCCCCACTGTCATCAGTGGTCCACATGAGTATATAGCCTTCTCAACTATGTAAGCAAGATCAAAAACAAAATACATTTATTTAAGAAAAGAACTATGCCCAGCATGGAAGACTTTTGAGTCACCACAGAAAGACTCGGAGGCGGGGGGCAGTGCACATGAACCCAGCTATAACCTGTTTCCCTCAGCAACACGGGCAATGGCTGGGATGGGCACAGTGACAAGGGTACAGCACGAGGCTCACCTGCCACCCTTAAGCTGACCCATTTTGGGCCTAGCAACATCCTAATGGCACATTGTTCACAAGTCAGGGAAGACTACAGCTACAACTCCAGCCCAGTAAATTATGTGTGGTGCTTTGATTGGGCAGGGGAAGGAACCAAAGTGGTCTCCACCCCTACAGCAACATAGGGGAACAACCTCCACCACATTCTCCAACTTTTCAAGCAGCCAGTGGGGACTACCGAATTCCTCCTGATTCAAAGCACCCGCAGCAGGTGCCTCCCACCTTGCCCTGTGTGGATGGTGCTTCCCAGGGGAGAGACCATGCAGGCGCAGGAGCAGCTGGCACAGTGTATTCATCCACGCAGTCTCTGTTCGAATCTCCTGTGAAGATCACTTTCCATCAGGCCCACGAGAAGGTGACGCATCATGCTTCCAGTACCTTTGTGTGGCTCAGGTCAGTGCGACTTTGCATACTTCAGTTGTCTAGATCGCTCTGATTCTGTGCATTCCTATGAACCCAGAGAGCATATCCTGTATCCAGTTTGGGGGAAAAAATGGTCATTTAAAAGATCAAGTATTTGCTCGACTAAAGACATGGATTCCTTACAGAACAATCAGAAACTTTCAGTCTTGGACATGGACTTCAAAAACTGGATGATTCGTCTTTCTCTGCTGATTAGCAACAAAGGGGCAATGGAGGCATAGCCAGTGCTCACCAACATCTGGACACACATATGAACTGAGTCAATATTCCACCTCATCGTGGAGAGCGAGTACATGATGCAGTCCAGCCAGTAGAGGAGCACAAAGACGCCCATGAGCAGCAGGATGGTGCGGGTGGCCCTCAGCTCTGGGGAGGCTCTTGGAGAAAGCCTGGTGCTGTGGAGGTGCCGGGACTGCCTCTTGTGCCTGCACAGGAGGGTCACCATGTAGGCACTGGAGAGGGCCATGAGCCCTGTGAGCGAGACGTCCTGAAAGATCCACAATATGGAAAGTAAGTGCCTGGGAAAGTAGCTCAGGATCCAAAGAGAACAGGATTTAGTGACAGCCATAACATTGCTGGACGTATGATTTGTTGAAGCAACAGCGCAGATTAAGAGATGCACACTCATGGACAAACTGAAGACCCAGGCGAACAGAAAGATGCACAGGCTGTGATGGGAGGATGTCTGTTTGAACTTGGCCATCCAGGAGCTCCTGGGGCTGAGGGCGATGGCCTGGAGGACACTGAGCAGGAAGGTGTTGCCCAGGGAGAGGCCCCGCAGCACCTGGTACAAGTAGAAAAGTGCTTTACACGCGATGCCGTCCCATGACTGCCCCTGAGACTGAAACACATCCATGGATACCAACCCTGCAATGATCAGCGTCACCAGGTGGATGAGGGCCAAGTGCCCGATGGTCAGGTCGGTGGGCTTGAGCTTGTGCTTGAGCAGGAATGAGAGGTGGAAGAGCAGGAGGAAGGCATTGGCTGGGATCCCAATGCTGACTTCAGAGAAAATCACACACTTTACAGCAACAAAACTACAAAACATATTCTTTCTGTTCATCTCTTTGGGGGTAGATAATCATAGAGTCAAGGTCTTTAAAAAGTAAGCAAAAATATTTATCACAAATAGTTTCTGTTTATCAGTTGCAACCATGATTACTGCGTTCATAACGGTATGTTGACTGCAGTGCACATTTTTACACCTGGGAATGCTGATGTCACTTCACTCTCCTGCTCCATACCTGCCAATCACAGACAACACACCCCACTGCTGGGCTATCCCAGGGCCTGCAGAACACAACTGCCATGATGTGAACATTGTTTTAGACTTTATATCTTGCTTTTAGTTTTGAAAGCGTGCTTGTAAGCCATTTCCCTTTGTGTCTGCCAAATCCTGTCAGCTTTCAGGATACTCAGTAGTTTTGTTTTTAATTCAGCAGCTAAGTTGAAATTAGACTTGCTAATAAGCAGTATATAGTTTAAGTCTCAGAGCTACGATTATTGTGGCTTGTTTCCAGAGAAATAGTATTAATATAAAAGTACCAAATACTGGTTAGTATAAACTGTGAAGTAATGTATTTAATTTATATTACTAGTCCGTTTCATTTTGTTTTTAAATTAGTTAACAGATTAAATGTATTTACTGATAAACTCCTAAGAAAAAAATGATACTCCTTCCTTCCCTCTATGATTCTTTTCCCCTTTATTTCCTTAGCTTTTGGGTAACATTCTAATTTTTTATTATTGCAAAAAAAAAAAAAAGGCTTTGTACATCCCTGGTTAAGAAAAATGGATAAATAAAAAAAACAAAAAAAGCAAATCCCAACTCTGTGGAAATAGACAATAGTTAGAAACAAATGGAAAAAGGACCACTTCATTCGGGCACAGCACACTTTAAAGGCGTTATATACGGTTAAGCCTAAGGTAATAAAATGGTGTTAATCACTGCTCAGACCCAAATATAAACACAGATTCCAGTTTCAAATCTACAAGCCGATATTTACTAAAACGCAGGACCTTCAATTGTCACTTAACATGAGAGCCCAAGTTGTCTCATCCATAAATACTGGTAAGCACATGCGCTGTCTGGGCGAGTATCGGGTGAAAGCATGAAACAGGCACTGTGTCGAGAAAACGGTGATGATTTCAGAAACCGCAGCCCTCCCGAGGCCGGCGATCCCCGCGTGGTGCAGTCCTTTCACAGCTCGCCCGTTCTCTCCCAGCCCAAGGGGAAGGAAGGGAACGCCACGCAGAAGGTCTGAACTCCCTGGACCACACAGCTTCTTCTCTTTCCATCCCTGGCCTGTAGGAACAGCAGTCGGTACGTTCAGAGTCTAAGTGGCGAGCTGATTTCCTTCCTGTTACGGAAACGAGGGGCCCCATCCCTACCCCCACCAAGCAGGTGGGTCTCCACAGACACAAGCCTTCACTCATGTCATCCTCATGTCAGGAAGCACATGAGACCGAAGTATCCGTTAGTGTTGGAGCACATGGTCTCGGGCTGTTTGTGGAGTATTTTCCCTCTGCTACAGACTTGTCACTCAAATCTTACAGATAACAAACCTATGCTAGTATAGAAAAAAAAATCTCAGGAATATATTTCCACATATGTATTAACTGAACACCAAGAGCGCCATGGTGAATTTCACTGTTAGCAAGTAAGAGCATTGCAGTCCAGTAATGCGAGTTGCTGAAGAGAAGCTGAGCTGTTCAAGTTCCACTGCTATTTAGCATTTCAGAATACAACACTATATGGGAACTTGGTCTGAGTTCAATCTCCTAGAGCAGAAACTGCATGGCAGCATCTTAAAAAGCAGCCTTTCTCCAGGGACTGGAATCCTGCCTGTGGACACAGAAGAAAAAAAAAACAAAACTATAGACTCACTCCTCTAGGACAGTGGATCAAGGAAAATGACACAGGTTGAATCATTAAAGTGGGTGCAGGGGGAGGAACCCACAGAAAGTATCCATGCAGCAACAGGCGAGGGGGCTAAAAACACGAGTCCTTGTCCAGCTGTCACAAACAGCTGGTATCACTGGAACACACATGCCACATATCTGCACTTGACCTGTTGCTCATCTTACTAAGGAAGGAATAGAAATACAGAAAAAGTACTCCTGTGCCACATTTTATTAGAAAACAGTCAATATAGGACTATTTCATGAAAGAACAGAAACGAATGCTCTCAGCAGATTCTCCTGGCAGCGCCGCCGCCCACGTACTCCTAACACAGTACCGCGCAGGGGAGCCCTACCCCTCTCCTTCCCACAGCAGGGTGCTAGAAGAGCCTCCTCAAGTACGACTCCCAGGAGTGACCATGCTGGGACGGCACCTGCTCTCCTGATGGACCAAGCCCAGAAATGGCGTTTTCCACACTGGAGAAAGCAAAATGCCCTCTGAGAACTCAAGGTTTTGAATATAATGACATAGTCACGTGGAGAAGGCTCTGCGGGAGTTCTCATTCACACAGATCACGCTGCAGGGGAGCAAGGAAAGGATAAATGCAGACTGGCACCGAAGAATCAACAGTGGACTAAGGGCAGCCCGAGCCGGGCCCTCTGTGGATTGCACGGTCAGTGGCTATCACACAGCAGCCTCGGTCCTCCTAGGAGAAACAGGAATCAGTGCACATTTATTTATTCTCATAAATGCGTGACAGATAAATGCAGCTCCAATATCATTTGCATCAACATAAACATCACTTTCATAGAAAGAAATCCAAGCATGTACATCATATGAAATTTATACTGTAATTTCCCAGTTTTTGTAACAGGAAGGGACTCATTAAAAAGCTCTCAGCTATGAAGCTTCCAGAATGTGGGAACACGGAAGGATAAAGTCCCATTATCACATCCTAAGTTTCCTCTTATCATGTGTAATTTCAGCCTCTTTTCCCCACCCTCTACTTTGGAATTTCCTCACTGCCCACGAACTGACTCCTTCTATTTGAAATCTGACACTGAAGCTACACAAAGAAAGGTTTTCAAGAGAAAACACCGGCAGACATTGTATGGGAAGGAAAAGGAAAAACTAAAATTGAGTTTTTATATGAAAAATAAACTCCTCTTGTGCACTGCTGAATAAGACATGAAGCATCCTGAGAAGATGGTTTCCCGTTGTGTTTCACGGAGAACAGTCCCGGGCCGTGGAGGGCAGGGGCAGCCCACGTGTAAAACCTCATTACAGAAAACCCACTCTAGTCCCAACTTGTCCCCGTCCCACCCTGCCTAGAAGCCCACCCACCACTGAGACCCCATCTGTGGAAGAAAGAGCCGCTTACCAGGAGCACAGGTGGGGGTTCCGTGCACCTGAGAGGAACCTGCAGCGTTTTAAGGGAAGGCTGTCCTGAGCTCATCTCTCTGTGGATGGCATTTTGGTGTCTGAGAAAGGCGACAAGTGCATCTGGGGCCGGCCAGGATACAGAGTCCCCGGTGGAACATGTCACCTGTCTATTTGTCTTCCTTTATCCCCTCTTGGGTAACAGCCGTTTGGGGAGTATTGTGCCCAAAACTTCTGAGTTCCAGGACGTTTGTGTGAGGGTCACAAGGGGCCCAGCCCTGCAGATGACACCATCTTCTCTCACTTTGATCCCGAGAGCACGCGAGTCCCACGTCAGTCCCCACTGTGCTGGGTCTGCTCAGGGATGACACAACCTGAGTGCCCTCCAGACTTTCCTGGAGATGAGGGTCCTCGTCCCACGGTGGGAGGGTCAGCCTGCTCCCTGCATCCACTCCCTCATGTAGCACCTGGCTTCATTAGTCATAGATTACATGATATTACAAGCTTATCAAGTGTCAGGCTCTTTTTAAAATATTTATTTTAATTGAATGTGTCTGTGTGAGAGAGAGAAATATCCTCCATCTGCTGATTCATCAAATCCCCTCCACCTTGGCCGCCCCAGCGTATGTCCACAATGACAGAGCTGGACTGGTCTGACGCCAGGGGCCAGGAGCTTGAGGGTTTCCCACTCGGGGTGAGCGACCCAGGGATCAGGCCAGCCTTCACTACCTTTCATGTCATAAGCCTGGAGGAGGATCGGAAAAGGAGCAACCGGACTAAACCGGCAGCCATGTGGGATGGCCCACCCAGCAAACACTTCCGGATATCCACAAAAAGGGCAGACACTCCACCAAAACACACAGGCCTAGTTCAAATATAAAACCCATCAGAGGAGAAAACTTACATGTGTTTCCACAAATGCCTAAAACTAAATGCAGAAAAAGAAACATGGAATCATACTCCCAAGAAATGCAACACTTCAACATTATGTCAAGACTGACGATAGTAACTCAACAGAAGACTGTAACTCAGAAACAGAGAAGCACTTGAGCAGAAAGTCATAAAGTATGGATGAAAAATCATGCCAAAGGATAAACACACTGAAGAGAAGTTAAAATACTCAGAAATGAAGAATTCAATATATCCAATAGAAAATACAGTGGAAAGCCTTAACAAATCTGGTAGGGCAGAATATCTAAGTGAGAAGACAACTTTCAGAAATATTTTAGACAAAAAAAAATGAGTTAGAAAAACTGAAAATGGCATTCAAGATGTGTAGAATATCGTCAACTAACAAAGGTTTGTTTCTTAGAATTTCCTGCGAGCCTGGCATGGTAGCCTAGTAGCTGAAGTCCTTGCCTTCAATGCACCAGGATCCGTTATCGGCGCTGGTTCTAATCCTGGCGGCTCCACTTCCCATCCAGCTCTCCGCTATGTCCTGGGAAAGCAGCCGAGGATGGCCCAAAGCCTTGGGACCCTGCACTTGCATGGGAGATTCAGAAGAGGCTCCTGGCTCCTGGCTTCAGATCAGCTCAGCTCTGGCTGTTGCAGCCACATGGGGAATGAATCAGCAGATCTTCCTCTCTGTCTCTCCTTCTGTGTATCTGAATTTCCAATAAAAAGCACTCCTAGGAAACAACGGTTTTTCTAGTTCCTACTTGTTGAGTTTTTATATAGGGAAGGAATAAGCTTGTGATTATACAGTAAATTGAAAGCCTGTCATTATGAAAATTTGAAGACATAGGAAAGAAGGGAGGAAATGGAAAGCGTGGGAAGCATCA